ATGGGAAGTAGTGATTTTCTGTCTTCCTGACTCACGTATTAGCTGTTGTACATAAACATAAAGAACAATATTAAAAATATTGATTGTCCTGATATTGAGCTATGGCCCCTTTTGAAAAAAATCCATATTTCAATTTTTTTAAACTCTGCTCTCTACAACCAATTCCATTGATACCACTGTATTACATCTAATTAATTTAATGAGATATTTTACTAAGTGATTTGGTTACACTTGGGATCGTGTCCTCAATATTTTGTACAGTCTTGTAGAAATGACTTCTATGAAACAGAAACACTTGGATATTTAAAAAGACAAAGAACATCAGAGAGCTTTATATTTCACATTGCCGGAAGCATTCTTTTTGTTTGATTTAAATCCACATTTAGCTGTACAGTACATGAGTTAATCATTTGGGTCTGGTGAAATGTATCCACATGATGGTACATAGAGCCCCGAGGTCCTCAATTACTGCTGTAGTGCTGCAGAGCAGTGCAACAGGCAGGTAGGCAGACACCAGTGTGGCTCAGGGCTCCTACACTCAGTCCCCACTGGCTCCCTTTGTCCCATAAAAATACCTTATTAGAGGGAGAACAGCAATCATCATTATCACTGTTAGAGAAAAGAGATGTGATCAGGTTCATTTAACAGTCTGATGCTCTTCGCTCCATATTCTTGCTGCTTATTTAACCCGGCTTTAATTTGGTGCTTTATTTTAAAAGGAGGGAGTTCCTCTCCACCATAGTCGGCCGCCTTTGCTGCAGGGAAGCTGCCTGCATGCTTGCTTTCCTCTTGTTTACTCATCTTGTCACGTTCATGGATCTCATTATTCTCATTATTTAAATCATAGCCTGGATCTTGTTGTATGGCAGCAAAGCAGCACCAGCAGGCAGCCAAGTTCTCACACACGGCAATCCATCCTCAGCTCCGGCGATTGAACAAATGCTGAAATAAAGCTTAAATGCTGTCAGTGGTCCTCAGGCGACCACAACGAACTTTAAGTATTGCGCCGTGTGCCTGAGTGCCCCCTGTAGCAACAAGCCGTCAGAGTCGTCTGATTTTTCAGCTCCAGTACATTTCTGGGCGTTGTGTTCAACGTTTGCTTTAACCCCAATTTACAGCGTGTCTCTGAGCGAGGCCTGTGGTGAAATGTGAACAATGAACGCAGCTTTTCTCCTTTGATACACGCTGCCCTTTAAATCAAATGTTGACAAGCCATTTACAGACTACAATAACTCTTAATAGTCTTCTCAGTCATTCGGCCGACTGTGAGCTTAATTACAGAGTCGAGCATCACTGTATTCACGCATCGTCGCCGTGGCCGAGTTGTGTTAAATCACCTCTAATCCCAGAACGCACAGCATCTCATTCTGCTGTGGCTTATTCTCTGACAATACTGTAACTGTGCAATCAGCCTTATTTGTGAATCAGGAAGATAACGCTATGAGTAATCAGATTATTATCATCTGCGTTATCTTTTCTTCTTTGTCTCAGTTCATTTTGCCTGAATGAACTCCGCCAAAGTTATTCACAATATGTGTGGTTAAAAAAAAAGTGAAAGAAAACAATAAACCAAAGAAAAAACATAAACATTCCAGTATATTCTTTATTGTATTAATTTATTATCAGTAAACATTGGCCAAAGTTTGCAAAAAGGAACAAAAAAAGGCAGAAAAGAACAAATATGAAACCAGATTAAAAAGATAAAACCAATATATTACACATCTTTCTCAGAACAGCACTTGACATGAATCTCTCTCACTCGCTTCGTCTCCGACTCCCTCTCGCCTCGTTCTTTCCCAGTGACCTGGTTAATTTCCAGCACTCTTCAAAGTCCTCCTGCCTTTTTGGATTATCCATATTCCTTTTATCAGGCAGATTATTGTGAATGCTCCCTTTGAATATCCCATTAGCATACTTCATCTCTAATGCCAGTCTCTAGCTTTTAATTCTCCTCATTCTCCCGTCCCTGTAATTCTTATCTTTTACTCTCTAATTCCAGCAGCACCACAGACTCATTTTTTTTTAGGAACTTATTTTCATTTTGAGCTTAAGATCTGAGCATCTTTCTCATTCAGGCCACAGGACTTTGCGGTAGAGAATGATAAAGAGTAAAAAAAGTGAGCTCTTATTGAATTCAGGGATTTTTTTTGTTTAAAAGGATTTTTCCTTGGCCAGCACTTTGTACAACTTTTCCAAGCCACCACGGTGCCAGTTAATAATTTTAATCTCTCTTTTATTCACTCTCTAACAAAATTAGAAGAGATCAGCCGGCAAAATCACATTAAATGTTTTAAGCAAAAGTTGACGAGCTGGTCCGTCAAAATGGATCACCGTCTATTCTGCCACAAAGCAACACAACCGACTGCAGCCTGATGAATGTATGAAGGCCAAGAAAAATAACACAACCTCACTGAATCTCCGCCTCTGTCCAGCATCAGCTCAGGTATCCATAAGAGTGATGCTACACAGGGCAGCATTGTAGAGCAAAATGTGAAAGTGAAAGCAAGAGTGAAGCTGATTTCATCCCATCCATTATCTATACACCGCTTAATCCTCACTGGGGTCGTGGGGGACTGGAGTTTATCCCAGCTGACTCAGGGTGAAGGCAGGTTCACCTGGACAGGTCACCAGTCTATCACAGGGCTACACTTAGAGACAGACAACCAAGCACACTCACACCTACAGACAATTTACAATCACCAATTAACCTCAGCATGTTTTTGGGAGGAAGCCGGAGAACCCGGAGAGAACCCACGCTGCACGGGGAGAACATGCAAACTCCACGTAGAAAGATCCCAGGTGTCCTCACCGGGACGCGAACCGGCGACCTTCTAGCTGCGAGGCACGGTGCTAGCCACCGAGCCACCTTGCAGCCCTGTAGCACAACATAAAAGTGAAAACAGCGCTCAATTTTAATGTGAAGCTGCAATAAAAATATGTTGTTGCTAAAATCACTGTGGCAATAATGATCAGAATAATAATGACTAGCATTAGGCCCATAACTGTGCAGCCTGAGTAGCAGTTTAACCCATCAGCATTTTTAGCTGACTGTGATTTTCCAGTAATCACAGCCAGCTTCAAACACACTAAATCAATATGTCACAGATTAGTCTATCAGTGCTTTTGCGTAGCCAGAAGGGTTTTATAGCAGTAAAATGGTACCGACATGATCTGATCGTGTTAATAGCAGGAACACACCTTTCACTACCCCAAAGCCAATTCCAAATAATGTGGATCAGCTGTTAAAGCCTGTTGGAACTTCTGAAGTGACCACACCCCTATTGTGTTGCCACCCGTTGCTCTCTGACTTTAATCTTACTTCATGTTACCAAACCCTATTCCGTTGCATTTGCCAGGTTGTGAATAGCATGGCGCTACTTCATTGCCCTTATACAATGAGTGTGCTCTTAACATTGGCTATGTTTCCAGCTGGGGGGATTTGGAGAAGTTATTTTTGTTCTCCTTTCAGTATTAAAGATTAACATGGTCCCAGCCATCTTCACTCTCCCTCTACCTCCCTCCCGCTGCCTGCTCTCTTTCTGCCAGGACTAACTCAATTCTTTATTTAGAAGCAGGCAGTTAGAGTAGCGTGGCCCAGGAGAGCGCACACTACCGACTTGTCAGGACTACTAGATGTAGGTTACTTTGCTCAGACGTGACATAGAAGCCGGCTTTCAGGCCAGGACAGCCAGAGCAGGCCGGCTGACGCACGCTGCCCCAAGTGTCGTTCCCTCGTGGGAGAGGGAGCCGCAGACAGGAGGTCGGGGACGTGGCCGACTGGGGCTGGAATGGCTCTCTGGGGTCCGTCGTGACTCACCTTCCAAACCGCTTCACTTCATAGCTTCTCAGGGGAGTCTGTCATGGCGTCGGGGAAGAATTAACTGGGCTGAGGACTGCGTTTCAGACAATGATGTGCTAAAGACAGAATTCCTCCTGACGTGCTATTTGCATATTGTTTGCTCTGGTAAACTTAACTGCACGGCATCCTTTCGTACAAGTTTGTTGCTTTTTTTTGCAGATGACCTGAAAACATAATGAAACAAATGCACACAAAATAGATACATATATAAAATAATATGATCATGAAAGATTCTAACCGAAATGCAGGATGAGGAAAGAAATTGTAATTTCCTATTCATAGCTGATGTTAGATCCTCCGTCTGACCCCTCCAGAGGCGCCGAGCATAAAAAGTCTTTGTCCTGTGCTTAGAAACAACTAAAAGACTCGTGCCAGAGTACTTGAGGTGCTGCCCTGTGTATACATCTCCAGACAACTAGACATATACAACATAATGAAGGGCTTTAAAAACAAGTACGCATTTATTAAAACCGGATTGGGAGTCAATGTAAGGACTTTAAAATGGTTGTAATGTAATTTCTCTATCTGATCTGAGTGGGCACTTGCCAGTTCTGAATCAATAATCATGAGTTGTGTCAGTCTGCCCTCTTGCCCTTGAGAGGATAGTCTTCAGGCTCCCTTGTGTGAACCTGTTCACTCATTGGATTTGGTGCTGATGCCACGTCTTGGACAGGCCACGATCCAGGTCACGGCCTCGGCTGCTTGTAAACCCTTTAAAAATGTTGTTCTTGCGGTATAAGCAAGCAGCCTTGTTTGTTCTATTTCTTAGGGCTCCCCTTCTGGCAGCAGCAGTGACTAATGGTGGCGTGTCAAAGTGTTGCTCCATGTCACCGTCATTCGGAGGCATTTAGAGCATAGGGTTGATAAGCGCACAGTCGGGGTGAGGCATGACGTTCGCCCCGAGATGTGAGTGACTTGGAAACTCAAACGCTCGAGTCAACTTCAATTAATCCTGTTTCATTGTGTTCTGTATCCGGGGGAATGGCTGTCTATCAAGCTCACTTGAATATGTCTCTCATGGGCATTTTGAAAGATGGTACAAGAGTCCGTTCCTAGAGTAGTCCAGTAGAGAGACTTTCAGGACTTAGAAAGGACAAAGGCTGTAATATGTATTTCCTAACTTTATGCTTTGTTTCTTCAGGACCCCAACCACGGGAGCATCACCTCGTCCTGCCACGGGCTCAACTCGGCCACCCTCCAGCGGCACAGCCAAGAGCTCCACAGCTACAGCCAAACCTGCCACCCCTAAAACGCCCTCCACCTCCGCCAGGCCCGCTGCCCCCAAATCCACCTCCTCTACCCCCTCTGGTGGCAAACCTCCAGGACCACAAGCATCCAGGACCACAACCCCTCTGAAAAAAGGCAAAGAAAAAAATAACAATTAAATGAAAACATGAGCATATTTGAGAGGATATGAGCAAGTTATTATCACGCTGTCTTGGTCTTCCTGGTAACTATTTAAAAGCTAAAGAAGGAGATGAAGAATAAATGAAGAGGAGTGATTGGTCAGCAAATCTGAGGAATCTTAATACACGGGATAATGGTGCCAGTCTATGTGCTTTAAAAACATCCAGGCCTTAGAATCAGTTCTGTACTTCACTGGTAAGAAGTGAAGCGAGGTCAGTGCAGAGGAGTCTCTCCTGACAGTGCCAGGAAGAATCTTTGCCGCTGCATTTTGAACCAGCTGTAGGCGAGATAAGGCTGACTGACTGATTCTCAGATTGCAGTAGTTGCGATAAGAAAAAAAAGCTAATGAATGGTCTCTTTGAATGGTTTCATTTTGCCTGCAATCTAACAGGGAGGAAGGTAGTACTGACAGTAAAGTCCATCAAATTCAGTTCTATCAAAGATGTCACGGAAATTTCTTGTGAGGGAGTTCAAATTCAGTGGCAAAGGCCTGAGTCCACTTAATGTGGTTTTGAAGAGTCTGCAAAGGTAGATAACAAGAATATTTGGAGGCCTTTTTCCTTTGCAGGATTTTCATTTTCAGCACATTTCAGAAGGATGTTAAAAGCATCATGGAGTAGCAGGTTTCATTAGACGATACAGCCAAGATGGATCCAAAAGGAAGCCTTAGAAGGAGCCTTACGGTACTCCACATGAGATGGCAGCAGAAAAGAGAACATATTATGAATTCTGTCAGAATATGAACGGTCGTCAAATGCAGGAGGTGAAACTCTGAGAAAGGTTGACTGTGTTCAAAAGAGCAGAGACATCAAAAAGAATTTAAAAAATGTGATTTTTGGTGTGTGAAGACAATAACATCACTCAGATCCAGTGATGTACGGTGAGGTTCACGGCTGGTGAGGCACTGACTCCATCAGAATCAGATCTACAGAGGAGCTCATTTGCCATTTGATTGGCAGCAGTTTACGAGTTATGTTTCATATCTGCATTCTTTACACAAAACGCACATTTAATTTAAAAAAAAAAACGAAACAACCTTATTGTTGTCTTACCTTTACTTATAAATAAAGTCCATGCGCCGCTTCTTCTGCACAAAAATATCTGTTACTTTCTGGTAGAAGTCCTCCTTATCTTCCTTCTCTGTCTCAATGAAGATCACTGCCAGGGAAGAAAGCTGTCCTTAATCATTTCGGTTCCGGCTGTATGTTTTGAGTCTCTTCAGTGCTGAGAATGTCCGCTCCACCGACGCTGTAGTAGCTGGCACAGTGAGCACTAGCTGGAGCAACTTTGTCGCCTCATTTGCAATAAGATCCTTCTTGGCCAAAAAGCTGGAGATGTACATTCATCCCTCATCGTTTTTGAGCTATACAGTCCAATGAGATCAGCCTTTGACTGGCTATGCAGTTTCGTGTCATCAGAATGTCTCACTGAATTTTGTGCAATCCACCAAACCGAGGAAAGCAAGTTCATCGAAATGGTCGAACCCAGCCTTGAATGTTACAGAACGCTCGTCTCCGTTCGTCTCTAACCGACCGTCTGTCTCCACTCTGTCAGGCCCAGTGCGCCGCATTTCTGCTCAAATCAGTCCTAGAAACTGTCAAACTCCAGTCTCAGGCGCTTGATAACTGAAACTGTGTCGCGGATGCGTGCAAGACAGTATTCAATGTCCATCACCTTGTTCTGCAGCACTCTAAAAAGTGCGTCGGTTCCATTGAAAATGCCCTCAAATGCAGTAATGAGAAAGCATGTCGATGCTTTTGACAGCCACCGATCGTATCCTGCTGCCATCATCAGCGTGTCATTATCCCAGCTGTCAAGATTTTCCATAATGATATGAAATACGGCGCGCAGATCCTTTTGGTGCATGCTTATTGTCTGCAGCAGCCTAGAGTTAGAGGACCGTCTTGGAAGCGCTTGTGTGCTTCTCTTCCAAGCATTTAAATGGGAAATTAGGAAAATTCTGCGATTTTGAATAAAAGTAAAATCAAAATTGGTGAGGCTACATGACAAAAATTAATACTCTTTAGTACAAATCACTGGATAAATATAACCATTTTAATTATTTTATCTTTTTTTTCTTTCTTTCTGTGAAAGAAAAAAAAAGCCTCCCCTGACCGCACATCACTGCTCAGATCAATCCAATTCAAGTTTGTATTGTACATATTTACCTTGATTGCAGTGTTATATCACCACAGAAAGCTTCAGTGTTTAGTCTGGGTGCTTTTGGGGTGTATAATGTGCTGATATCTTGTACATTATCACATTTGTCAACTACTCCTTGTCCTGTGTTTTTCTAGATGTCACCAAACCAGCCACCCCAGCATCCAAAAAGCCTGCAGAGTCTCCCCTTGCTCGTGCTTCCTCTACTACAAAGTCCAAACCGGAGACGCCCAAGTCAGCTTCAAAATCAGACGTCACCAAGAAGCCTACTGCCAGTAAGGCTGCAGACACAAAGACACCCAACCGCAAAGAGAGCAAGCCCACACCTTCCAAGGATGCCTCCAAGACCCCTGCCTCCAAAACAAGTGCAACCAAGACTTCTAGCCCAAAGAAGACTGTGGGAAGCAGCACTCCGACTCCCGTGAAACGTGGCCCCAAAGCTGCAGCGGCTGCTGAACCTGAAAAGGAAATTGCTGCAGCAGTAGCTGCGGCTGCAGCTATCGCTACTGCAGCTGCTGTCATTGCCGGGCCTGAGCAGGCAGAACCTCCAGCAGAAGTAGCTTTGGAGCCATCTGCTGCACAAATATCAGAGCCCACACCAGAACCCGTACGGGAACCAACACCGGAACCTGTACGTGAACCAACACCAGAACCTGCACGGGAACCAACACCAGAGCCTATACGGGTACCAACACCAGAACCAGTACGGGTACCAACACCAGAACCTGTACGGGAACCAACACCAGAGCCCATACGGGAACCAACACCAGAACCTATACGAGAACCAACACCGGAACCTATACAAGAACTAAGTTTAGACCAAATGCAAGAAGCATCTCCAGAACCCCAAATAGAACAACTGCAGGCTGAACCGATCCATGAACCAGCCTCCGGTGTACAGTTGGACCCTTTCAAATTTGAAGAGTCTGCCAACGACACAGTTTCTGCCCTCGGAACCACGGTCATGTCTCCTCCTTGCTCCCCACCAGGCCTTGCTTCTCCTGTCAGAGAACCACAGAATGCCTCCTCTTTGATGGACATGCACGTCCAGCCTGACCTCTGGGACAGGAACCAGGACCTGGTTCACTCTGACATGGCTCCCCAAAGCGCAGTCAATGTGATGGACTTCCAAACAGAAGAGGAAGAGGAGAAGGAAAACTATGAAAACTTTGACACACAGGAGACACAGGAAGAGGAGGAGCAGGAGGAAGAAGAGAAGGAGAACCTGTTCATGCCTACCTCCACAGCTCCAGGGACCTTTAATGTTATGGCGCAGCCTCACTTTTTGGGTGCCTCACCTCTGGATGACTTCACTCCCAGAGAACTGATCTCCCCTCATGAAAAGGAGGAGGCAGTGGAGAAGGCTGACGAGGAGATCAATGAGGATGATGATGAGGAGGAGTATGAAGATGAGGAACAGCGGAGACTCGGCCACCAGCCCTCATCCATGATCACTGACTTGAGCTCGTCTCAACCGTCTGAGGAGTTCCAAGTCCGGTCCTCAGCCTTTGGTGGCTCAGCGGGGTGGCACGGTGATGACCTGCTGTCTGGGATGGACTCTGAGGACGTGAGCAGCTGCACCAGCAGTCGACAGCAGGGAGTCTCTGACCTCAGCAGCACCCAGCACACTGCCATACTGGAGGGCACCCAGAGCTCAGATGCCCTGGTCGACACCAGCCTACGTGGTTCTGAGGGTGACGGTAATCTCATGGGTTCTCCCAATGTGGAAACCCTGGCTAATGAGGAAGAGGAGGATGACGAGGATGAGCGAGTGGATGATATGGACCTGAGTTCAGAGAGAGTAGAGGAACCACACAGAGCGTTCCAGGAGCAGGAACGAGATGAAGAAGAGGATGAAGACGTAGAGATGCACAGCGAAGGTGTCACTGAGAGCTGCGGGAATGCAGATGAAGATGACTTTAATGATGAGGAGCGTTTAGACAACCTCAATCGCTCCGGTCCTATGCCTTGCGTCCCCCCTGCCTCTTCGTGGGGCCAGACCAACCCTTTCTCAGACACCTGGGCTCAGCCAGCCTCGCTGCTCTCTATGTCCTCTCCCAGCCCTGTGTCTGACCACGGTGCTGCTGAGTCTGAGACACCCACCCAGTCTCCTGCCCAGGCCTGTTTGGACAGCAGTGCCCCTTCCTTCGCTCCTCAGTCAGAGCACCATCAGTCAGCACATGAGGACATGAAGGGCTCTGCTCCTGAAGAAGCTGAGAACCTGCTCGCTCCTCCGGCTGCAGCCATGTCCAGCGCTCTGAGTGGAACAGCTCTGGCCGCCCACAGCAGCAGCGAGACGAGCACACCAGAGGAGCTTCGCGACTACGACAGCAGCTCTGGGGTCGAGTCCCGTTCAGACAAGCAACAGACCCCAGTGCCTGCTTCAGTCCAGCCTGACATGGAGCAGGATCTGGGGATTCACCTAGAGAAAGGCGACGGAGAAGAGGAGGAGGCTGAGACTCTCCCTGCCGACGAAGTCCTGGGAACAGGACCCCCAACTGCTCCAGCATCCGCCCCTTCCTCTCCCTCCACCTCAGGAGACGAGGCCAGCGACACAGAGGGTGAGATGCAAATCAATGACCCCGATGCACCGATGATGATGGATGAGAGTGCTGGATTTGAAAGCCCTCCTCCCACCTGTAACCTGCCCGCTCTCGAGGAGGATGAGGAGGCAGGGGACCACGCAGCCGGAGAAGGCGAAGAGGACGGAGGTGGGGCCACCCCTCAGTCGGCCAATTCTGTGGCATCTTACGGCTTCGACTGCACCACATCCAACTCCAACGCCCACTCCATGGCTGAGAGCTGCGGAAAAAGCCCGGGGATCTTCTCCCTGGAGAACGAGGAGCAGCTTCCAGAGGAGGCCAAGGACCCCTCCCTCATCAAGGAGCTGACCCTGCCATCAGCTGCTGCTGCCGCCCAGGTGGACGACCTGTTTGGCAGACCTGTGGACCTGATGCCTTTGGGCCACCCCGGAGACAACCACCCCGGCCTGGGTGATCACCACTACATGCTGGGGGGAAAGATTGCGGCGGAGCAGCTGGAGGACGTGGATCCGCTGGAGCCCAGCCACCACCTCGGGGCCCAGGAGTCTGGAGGCGCCGACGACAGCCAGCCGCCCTACTACTCTACCATATGTGATAAGACTGATAGTTTTCTGGCAGGTAACGTATAAGTCCCTCCTATTACCCCCGGAATGCACCTTTTCCCTGCAACCCTCCCCCTTTACCTGTTGTTTGTTTTCTCTCCAGTTGGGTTAGATGGCTTAGAAGAAAAAAAGGAGAGCAAGATTGTAGGAAAAGATTTTAAAAAATGAACAAAGGATGGAAGGATGGAAAAAAAAAGAGACTGTAGCAATTTTTAAATGAAGCCTCCCTCTTTCATACTCTTACGGTCATGGTTATGAGTGTATGGCTTAAACTCCTTTATGTACAATAGCTACTACCATTTTCTAGTAGAATGTTCTTTTTAAGTAACACTGCATATTCTGTAGCCCCTGATGGGGTAATGACTGATTGGTCCAATGGGACTGAGCCTTTAAACCGAAAAAAGGAAAAAAAAACAAAAAAAACAGATGGAACGAAATGGACTTATTGTGTATTTATCCTACTGTTTTTACCGGACAAATGTCAATGATTTTTTTTTTTGTTTTGTATTTGCTTATTTGTTGTTTTTTTTTGTTTATTTCTGTTGAAACCTGGTCCTCCCTACCCTGTGTACACATGCTCCATGTTCAACAGCACCATAGCGATAGTCACATGCTCCTTTTTACAAAGTTTGTGTTCTTGTTTCGAGACTTTTAGCTATCAAAAATAAAGGCTAGGTATTAACACGGCGGTTTTGCCCTTTACGGAATTGTCGAGGTAGGTATGGGAGTATTAGATTGCAGTTGGTGACGTTTTAATGTGTGCTTCAAGAGGTTCGACGCTCTTTGCATAGGTTGTTAAGGTATATAACGTGCAGTCACGTACAGTATGTGTTTCAGGCATTTGGTTTTAAGTGGCTAAGCTTTAAGCCTCAGTTAGCTGATCCTTTGTGTTCCAGAAGAGACTAACAACTAGCCTATTATTTGTGATGAGACCCTGCGTTATCCTACATCGCTATCACAGTTGAGCTTCACACTCGCTGAAATCTTTTCATAGCGGGCCTTTTCGGTTTGCTATTTCAACAGTATATTGCATGTTTTAACTAACAAGAAAAAAAAACTGTGTACTACCTGGAATTTGAAACAGTTCTACACTAGACATGTTCATAAATGAATGGTTCACACTAGGTTATCTTTCAAAATTCCATTAAAACATCATTGCAAGGCATTTTGTTCCTGTTTCTTATTTCCCCCCCGTGGATCCAGCATGCCTGAACTTACTGTCTCCTCTTGTTGGAGTCGCTGTGTGTCTGTTCGTCTGATTCCGCACCAGTGTTTCCCATGGCGGCTCCCGTTCCTCACCATGGGAATGACTGGAAAACAGGAAGCGATGCAACGTTGTACAATGGTGTTGTATCTAAAATGGAATTTTGGTCAAATCAAAGAGGTAATCCAAGTCTTGTCCCAGGGGTTTGTTGTCCACCTCGCTTATGGCTTCATGACGTTTTTCGATTCGCAGGGATCAGTGTGTAGGACTTAGCGGCGTTTAGTAGCGAGGGTGCAGATCGCAACCAACTGAACAGCCCCTCGAGTAGAGAACCTCCAGTGGCTGCTTCTTTAATGGGAAAATGCAAAGGAGCTGGGCTATTGTAGAAACATGACACCTCGAAGACCAACGAATAATTACGAATTCCATATCTGCTAATAGAGCCCCCTACGTCCTGCACACTGGTCCTTTAAGGTGCCCTGTGGAGTAAACAGACATCATGTGGTCGTTTCAGGCTAAGGAATGCTTCACACATCCGTTTCATAAGACAGGTGTGGAGAAGACGTGTTTTTTAAGCTTTCAAGTCGACTCCTGCACATCGTCGAACTTGCAAAACTGCAACGTTTCAGTGCTCAGACCTGCTCAAGAAAAACATCTCAGGATTTCTGATATTAAGGATTCATCACATATACTTATAATCGGTCTGGCACTGTGAGGTTTCTCACACCAAAACATCACAAATACGTGTTTTCTAGCAAGTCCAGACGGTGTGCGGGAGTCTATCTGAAACTTTTGGTCACACACATTTGTCAGACCTCAAGTTGTGTTTCCCCTTGCTCGAAAAATGTTGATTTCTTAATTTGTAAATCCCATGTTGCTGACATCAGTGTCCTTCCATTCCTTTGTTGGCGCATTGCTAAATTACTTCCCACCAGCTATCACAGTGGGAGAGGCACACAATAACCAACAAGAACATGTTTTGTGTAACACCTAGAAGCATTAATCCATGGTGGTCCACTGAACCTCCACAGGGTACCTTGATTAAAAAAACTTCTTTAAGGTATTTACACATAAGAGCTTGAAAGCTTTCCAACAGGCTCCTGCATCCTCCTGAATGTTTCCCTCACATTCATTTAGCACAAAAATACACAAAAAACATGTAAACGACAGACCTCATGAATGCAGTCGGTCCAAACGTTGAAGCTCCAGAACACTTTTCCTCTGACCTGCTCGCTGAAATGAACACACTCCATATCGCACACAAACACACACCCCTGTACAAGCAGCTCCTCTGAACCCTTAGTTATTTTCTACATAGCTGATTCGTGAGACCACACAAGCCTCCATTCAGATTTGGGACGCCTTTGCTCCCCCCGGCTAGCTTTAACGTACGTTTCATGACTTGGTGAAGATGCATGAAACGGTACGAGTTAGTCAAACGGATGTACTTCTGATTGTCACATCTTAAACCATACATTGTTTTAGTATCGTCAGTTATCAGTGATGTTTTAACCCTCATGTGCTCATGTGTCTCCAGATACTTGTCGTCTGTTCTGTACTGTGTATCGTATGACTGCTGTCTTGCATGATGACCATCGTTTTGAATGGAATATGGGAATGAAGATATGAGTTCACATTATTGAAGCAATCTAAGGAGAGAGAGAGAGCATCTTGCACTGATGACCTTATGATGTGTTTCTTGTGCTGGTTTATACAGTGTATAGCATTCCTCCATCGTCGTTGTCACTTTCTTTTGGAAACCCCTTTTCTTTTTGCGTTACACCTTTTGCGTTCTTGTCAGATTTCTCCTCCTTCCTGGCCCCTGTTCTGTTTGATGCATGCATCTCTAATGGATGCACCAAGTGATCTTGACTGTCTCACAGGAGACGAGAAGACACGCGCCGAGGACGAAGCTCACAAGTGGCAAACGCGCTCACAGCAAGACAACCAGAACCAGAACCACACTACCACAGTTCCCATAGCGAATGGCCACTACCTGGCACTGGTCCCAGGCAACAGGAGGCCCATTGATCCGAGTCTCGCCGCGCATTTTGCCAAGATCGCGCCCCCTCCACCTTTGATTGAGACCAACAGTGCCGGTCGCGCTGGTGGAGAGCAGCTGAGGAGGCTGGAGCAGCACCAAGAAAAGCTGAGAGAGATGCAGCAGCGTCAAGAGCAGGAGAGGCAGAAGAGGCAGTGGCTGGAGGAAGAGCGGCTGCGGCTGGAGCAGCAGAAGCAGCTGGAGAAGCAGCGCAGGGAGCTTCTCCAGCTGCAGCTGCAGCAGCAGCAGCAGGAGCACCGCCACCGCAGGCAGGTCCTGCAGTGGCAGCTGGAGCTGGAGCAGCAGTACCGCATGCAGCAGAAACAGATCCAACAGCAGCAACAGCTGAGGAGGAGCCCCACCGGAGTGATGATCTCCCCGTCCTCTGGGCTCTGCACCATCTACGAAGCCATGGAGACCAGCGACGAGGAGGACGAGGCCAGAGGAGAGCAGAGGAGGAGCACACAGCTGGTGGGGAAGAGGGCGTCGTCCTCCCAGGATGCTCAGAGGCAGCTGCGCCCGGTGCCTCCGCAGGAGCTGGAGTGGAACAAGAAGGTGGACATGGTGCAGCAGCTCATCAACCAGACCTTGATGCTGTCTGGTGATGGGGGCTGCCCTCCTCTCCTGCTCCTCCCTGTGGGGTCGGGAGGAACCCTGAGCCCCCTGGAGAGCAGCATGTGGCCCAACATGCTTCCTCAGTTCAACCCTCCTGCAGCCACGGTCACCTCGGTCAGCAGCTATTCCCCGGACAGCCGGGGCAGCTCCCCGCCCGGAGACTGGACCGTGGTGGAGGTGGAGACGCAGCACTGAGGAGCAACAGGTGGACCAGCACAGAGGAAGCCAGTCAGAGGAAGAGTTTGACATTTTAGTGACACAGTCCATATAGTTAATTTACACACAAAAAGCACAAAAACAACAGTTATTATTGTATCATGGGGACGTTATTATTAAATTAGCTGTTTTGTATGCATCAGTGTTAGTGAGCTTTGAACAGAGACCAGTTCTGTTTCCAGGCTTTATGCTATGCTAAGCTAACCAGCTGATGGTTATTACTCCTGGTCCATTTATCCCTGTTTTCTATCTACTGTGGCCTCCTCCCACAGTCCAAAAACATGATGCATCATCTTCTAAGAATCAGTGCGTTACCCAAAAATGTCAAACTGCTCCTCTCATTATATTTATGCACCATGAGACTGAAATATTCAGATCTGTATCTACATATCATTTATGTTGCTCTTTCTATTTCTTCTTCTTTTGATGTATCACTCAATAATCGAAGCCACGCAGAAATTTCAAGGTTTAAACTGCGAACAGCTTCACACAATGTTTGATTTTTATCACAAGTCACATCATCATATGACCGTGCGAACTCGATGTGAGAGCTCGTGAGAAACAAATCCGCTGTAGGCCTCCTGTGTCATCGATTACTGTAACCCAGACATGCTGAGCTCTGCTGTAACCTCTCGCATTAGAGCATGTTTCCTCATCACAGGCGCTCTGAGATGCACTGTTAGCGATCATGTGTTTAACTGTACAGTCTCTGTTTTTTTTATGTATCTCAACCAGAGACCAAACTCTGGTCTCCGTCTCTCTCCTATGAGGGATTAAGCTATGACAAATTGCACTGATTCCTTTATTTATTGTGTATCAGCCAAAGTGTTTATCCAGGTAAGTGTTTATTAGAATCGTGGACCTTTCATATCTTATAGTGAAACGTGTGAGAAAGAAAAAAAGATTTGAATCTGTTGTATCCCTTCTACCCTCTGCGACCAGTTTACTGTGTTACTGTGACTTCTTCACTGGACAAACCAGGTTTTCATGGACCTAATAGAGCCGTCAGTCAGGGGAGAAGGAGGAGGAGGGAAGAAGGGCCCTCCTTGTTCAGCTTGTGAGGGCCGAGAGGAGGCTGCT